GCTCCTTTCTCTGTCTTTTTCTGGGACCCCTGAAATGCAAATTTTAGTCTGCTTGATGTTGTCCCAGAAGTCTGTTAAGCTACCTTTTCTTTTTTTTAATCTTTTTTTTTTTTTTTTTGCTGCTTTGAATAGGTAGTTCCATTACCTTATCTGATCTTTTTTCTGCTTCATCTAGTCTGTTAAACCCCTCTGGGGTATTCTTCAACTCTGTAACTTCTATTTGGTACTCTTATATTTTCTGTCTCCTTGTTGAAGTTCTGTGTTCATCCATTCTTATCCCAAGTTCAGCGAGCATATTTATGACCATTACTTTGAGCTCTTAAGCAGGAGAAATACTTATCTCCATCTCATTAAGGTTTTTTTTCCCCTGAGGTTTCATCTTTTTTTTTTTTTTTCCCCCCATTTGGAACATATTCCTATGTTTCCTCATTTTGCACTTTTTTCCACGTATCAGATGAAACAGCCCTATCTCAGTCTTGAAGGTGTAACCTCTTGTAGGAGATGAACCTTATTGTTCAACCTAACTCTTGGTTTTCTCTGTCCTAACTCTTGGTTTTCTCTCAAACCTTTGTGATTGTACAAGTAGCCTATTTTATTTTTAATAGCCCCAGTTGCTGAAGGTGTGCTAAGACCTGTCAGTGTCCCAAAGGAGAGGGAAAATCTCAGTACCTAGATTCAGGCTGACTGGAAGCCAGACTCTCAGACAGCAGACTGTATGTAAATATATACAGTCTTATGAGACTGCAAGCATAAGCCCTATGGCTACCAGATGAGGTGATCTGGAAGTAAGGTGTCTCTGGGTGATAGTCGTAAAAACCAGGGATCCAGAAAAGTGTACAAGTTCTTTTCTGGAAGATACTGGTGAAATAAATGAAGCAGAGGTAGAGCGCAAAGATGGCATCCCTCTGCTCCATTCCCTGAGAGCACCGCCACAGGTCTCTAGATGTATGCCAGACCTGAAGCCTGACCCTCAGGCTTAGGCTCCAGGACAAGAAAATAGGCTTCTTTCACAGAAGGACTGGAGGTTGTGTTTCAATTTGTTGTCTGTGCAGTGCTCTGGGGGTAGTAGTCTTCCGAGAACTGTCTCTCTGACTGTTACAGTGCTATGGGACCCAGGAATTCAAAGCTTCCCCCTCCCCACTAGCCACCAGAGCCAGGCTGTCTAGAGGCAGCAACTGCAAAAATCAGGGCACCAGACATAAAACCTGGGTATCAGATATGTGTGAAACTTCCCTTACATGAGTTATTGGTGCTGGGTATTGTGACAGGGAAAGTGAAGATGACATCTACCAAGGGGGAAAAAAAAGTTCTGGAGAAAAAAAATGGTACTTGCTGGCTTTAAGGTAGAGGGAATGTTCAAATGCGGCACCTGATGGTTGAAGGGTAAAGATGGCACTTATCAAGAGGGGAAAAAAATGTCTAGAGTTAAAAAAAGGTACTGCTGGCTTTAGCAAGGCAGAGTGAAAACTCAATAATGGCACTTGACAGTGCCTCTGTCCCTGGAGAGTATTCCACCGGGACCCTGCCCATCGAGCCAGTGCTTTAAGATTAGCAAATAAATCTTTCCCAGAAAGTCTGGCCACTTTTCAAATGGCTGCTTCTGTGATGGGCCCTGGAGCAACACAGTATGTGACAGAAACCATATACAACCCTCAAAGCCTGTAATATTTACCGACTCTTTACAGTAAAAATTTGCTGACCTCTGTTCCTGTAGATTTCTCAAAAAGGAGGTACACGGTACAGAATTCTCTAACTTCCTATGTATTTATAACCAATTTTCTATAGTTTTGATATTTGGGGGACAGTTTAGCTGGATATAAAACCCTTGGTTCACACATATTGTTTTTTTAAAAAAATTCTACTTATATTAACTTTAATTGCTGCTACCACAACCTTGGTGGCTTAAAATAATAAACTTATCTCACAGTTTCTGTGCATCAGGAACCCACATACAATGGGGCTGAGTCCCAGGATTTTACAGGATGAAATCGAGGTGTCAACTGAGCTGTTATCTTTTCTGGAGGTCTGGGAAAGAATCTGCTTCCAAGCTCATTCTGGTTGTTGCCAGACTTCAGTTCCTTGAAGTTTTAGGACTGAGCTCTTCATTTCTGGCTGGCTTTCAGCAGGGGCTGCTCTCAGCTCCTGAAGGCCACTTGTATTCCTTACCATTTGGCTTTCTCCATCTTCAAGCCAGCAAGGGCACATTAAATCTGTGCTTCAAATCTTTGACTTCCCCTTCTGCAACCAACCGAAGGAAATGGCTTTTAAAGGACTTACGTGACTAGGTCAGGCTCACCAGTATAATCTCCCTTTCTTAAAGTCAGCTATGATATATAATCTAATCATGGGAGTAAAATTTATTTTCACAGTTCCAGGGATGATGCAGGCATGTACACCAGAGGGTGGAAAATCTTGGGGCCTGCCTACCTTAGGATTCCAGCTACCATACTGCTTTGCTCTATTGTCATCTTGCTTACTGTGTTGGGTTTTTAAAAATTGAATATACTTGATGTATAACTGTGTAAATTTAAGGTATACGTTTCAACTTAAAACATTCATATATTGTAATGATTGCCATTGTAGCAATATTTATTACCTTATTACCTTGCACAATGATCCCTTTTTAGTGGTCGGATAATTCAGTTTTGGTCTCTTAGCAAGTTTGATGATTATAGTATAATTTTGTTGTCTATATTCATTATATTGTGCATTACATCTCTATGGTTTATTTACTAATTGCAAGAATGTGCCCTTAAATAACATCAGTCTTATCCTGCCATCCCCTAGTATAGTGTGTTGGTTTTTAAATGTCGGATGCCAGTCTCTTTTGCCTTAGTAAGTTTATCTTTTTGCCTGTAGACCTTGAGAATATTTTGCCTTTAAAATCTAATAGTTTTATTAGACTATGTCTCAGAATTGATCATCTGGTTTTTCTCAGGTATGTGGTAAGTCCTTTCAATATGTATTTCAAATATATATTTTTTCTATTTTTGGAAAGTGTTCTTGGAATATAGTTTTAAATATTACCTCTGTTCTACTTTTTTTTTTTTCTTCCTCAGGGGCATCAACAACATGAATATTATTCCTTTGCCTATCTTCCATTATTTTTTCTCTTACCCTTTTGTCAATTTCATTTCCTTGGTGGTTTTCCTGCCTTTCTTCAATGACTCTTATTTTCATCTGAATCTATTCTCTTTTGGGCACCTTGTAACTTATTCTTCATTTCTTTTAGCCCCCCTTCACTAGCTTCCTTTTTCTTTCCTGTTTTTTTTTTTGAGGGGGATGGGGTTAGGGGTGGGAGTCTGCCTTTGCCTACTATAAAGTCTTGTGAGGTGAGGCAGAGCCAAAGTATGAGAAAGCATGCATTAGGTTTAGGTGACTTTTCTATATTTAGTTATTCTGAAGATTTGATGTTGTCTGCCTTCAAGTTATGCATAGAATGCGGTTTTGTATAGAATTTACTTTTCCTTTCTTATTTCATGTTGCCTGTGAAGGAAATATTGGGAGATAAATAGCTATGCAGTTGCCACTGCCTTTAGCTACCTGGAAGTCCCTATATGTAGGTTATTAAAGAATTGGTTTTTAAAGCTTCAGGAAGAGCTTGTGGCTGTCTTACATAAATCTGGAGGAAAAGAAGTGCCAATATAAGAAAAACCTAGCATCTGCTCAGAGCTCTCTGGTTGTAGTGTTAATGAAGTTTGGTTAGTGACCACCTTGGTGTATTTCCTCTACTTACAATGTTTTTACTGTTGTGATAGACATCAGTGGTTTTGATCTGAAACTACCTCCTTGATTTCCTTTTGGGGAACCACCCTGTTTCAACGATGGGTACATCTCATGTCCAGACCTAACCAATTAGTGTATAATTCATCTTTCAAGTCACAGTGATTGATTGATTGGTCAAGGGTAGACATGTGATCAGTCAATCCAATGAGACTCAGTCTTGGATCTGTTATTAGAACTGGAGTTGGTAAGCAGAAAATATTCCATAGTCAGTTTTAGTCTTGTGTATGTTGTACTTTGTTTCTGACCATTTATAGAAGGGCTTACATTAGCAAAAAGCTTAGAGTCTTTATCGCCCAAAGAAGTCCAAGGTAGAAAACATGATACAGCACAGTGCCAACATAAAGCCATCTTGCTCAATGAAATGAGATTGATCACCAGATCTATCTTGAGAAGATAGATGCAAAGTATCATCAAATAGTAAAGTTTTAAAAAAGAAATTTTGCTTTTTCAAATAGTATTCTGGGATAAACCCAACAGGTGAAGTAAAGGAAACCTTATCTCTTCTTTTTGTTAGTGGGCTCAAATCTAAACTAGGGAATTTAATAAATTGAAATGTGAAACCATTTTAGAAAATATCTAATATGTGGCTAGATGTTTTGAGAGAGGCTAAGAAAGTAAAGAACCTATGACTGTGTAAAACTGACCCCCTGAGATAAAACTAGACCAAAACATCTTTGGTTACGAATTGGAAGCCTATTAGATCAAGAATCCAGGAGATACTGAAAACAAAGGGTCACTGAAATAACAATTGTCCAATACTGGCTAACAAACTGAAAAATAATTATCCAAAATCTGTCTAAGGGAGACATTAATCCACAACAATTCCTGTCCTCCTCCTAGACTCTCAAGTGGAACAATCCAGTGTGCCTGTTGATATTACTATTATCTGCAATCCAGCAGAGCAGACTGCTATATTTAATAAACTTCTTTGTAACATTTATAGCTTCCTGGGACATTTCCAATCTGAGATATATAAGTATAGAGATATTAGTCTTATTAAAGATGTACTGGTAATTATTCAGTATAGGACATAAGCTTATAAGACAGTGGAGTTTTTACCATTTTCCTGGTGATTCTATTTCTAAGGATTACTGGATGTTAAATTGGGATATTTCATTGAAACAAAGTATTACTTAGTTGCTGCATCATCTAGTACTTCAGTAAATGTTTTTTGATAAAATGTACTAAGAAAAAGTCAATTATACAACAGCATCTCCTATCATACAACAAATTAATATAAATTTATTGGGTGGAAAATGGGGAAAGGGACAAAGATGGGGTGGTTCTGTATTGATATCAGAGTTCATATAAGGATAAACTCAGGTCCAAAATATTCAGCCCACATGAAAGACTTCATGTTCTGGTGACTGTGAAACAGGCCAGCCCTAGCTGCTGGGCTCAGGGAATCATGACCGTGTAACTGTAAACGAAGAAGCTCCTCTGTCAGGACATCACTTTCTCTCTAGGTCAGCATGATACTTCTTGGGTGCAAGTCTAATATTCTGTTTACTCTCCCACCGATGTAGAACAGACTGGTTAGGCATGACGTCGTGCCTTTTATCTTCTTCGTCCTGTTGGAAAGAAGTCACACCTAATACTGTTCAAAACTAACTGCAGAGCTGGGGACCTATTTTGTCTTTATAAATATTCATCAAAGTGGGTGGTTTTAATCTAGACAGTTTAGGAGAGGTGGAGCTTTTAAGAAAAAAAATTTAGTTCATAGATTTCCTAGCAGTAATTTCAAGAAATCTAACGATTAGTAAAGAGAGTAGCTGGATGAAGAGAGAACCTCCGTAATTAGAAATCTGAGAAGAAACAAATCCAGACTTGCTTAAAACAGCACTATCTAAATGCCCTACCTCTTCCCTCCACGTGTTTTCCCGGGGAAGCCTCTGCAACCGGTTTTTTGTCAGCTCAAGTTGCAGGCCATCGAATCTGCACTTAAACCAGCGGTGAGCTTCTTCCAGGTTAGCTGTTATCTGAACATATAAATGTTATCATTAAAATAATTACAACAGTTATAAATTTTTAACGTTATTAGTTTGACTTTTTATCTACATATTATGACCAAAATTCTGACTGCAAGAACCCTGCAACTTATTTTGAATAATATACATCCTACAGATAGATGAGAAAGCAATTCCTGAATACAGAGTTAAAGAATGCATGCAGGCTTGATGCTTTTTATGCATTTGTTAATATTTCCTGGATGTGAACTAAGGTAAGAGAGGGCCCAGAAGAAAATAAGAATGAACATACAAAAATGGCACTGAAGATGAATATGGTAGTTCAAACCATTTTTTTTTTGGAATTTTTGAGTTCTATTCTCTACTTTTCCAAAGTTCCTAAACTAGATTTTTCTGTTGTGTTTTATAGTAATAAAAAGTAATAGAATGAATTAGTAAAAACCTGGAGCAGCTTAGTATAAGTTGTATTCTTTGATACTTTAGCTCATAAGCGCAAACTTCCAAATTATCTTTATTAGGCTTGAAAACAGTCCCTCTGATAGTTTATTTTTGAAGATGAACTGGAATCAGTATTCATTTATTTGACAAATGTTTACTGAGTGCCAATATATGCTTGGCACTTTTCTAAGTATTTGGGATACTTTGGTATTTTCAAGGTAGAGCCGATAGATTTTTATATGAAGGTTGCTTCAAAACAGCTCCAGAACATAATCTTCTAAAATAAGAAGTAATATGACTTGTTTTCACCCTCTGATTACTTGTTCATTAGACAGAATTTTCATTTTCTGATTCTGAAGTCTGAGAGGGCATTGTCAGGCCTGTTCAGATAGAGATTTTTATCTCCATCACCTGGTGCCTGCCATATAATAGGGCCTTAATAATGTGCTACCATGTACTTGCCCTATATTAACCAGGTCATAGTGTAGGTATAAAGTAGATAAGAAAATAGAGCTCCCTTGGTCATTTAATTTTTAGAAAGCTACAAAGCTAAAATATGTTCCAGGTCTGTTTATGTATCCTAAATGACAGTGACACTCCCACCCCCAAACCAAACCCAGCCACACCTTTCTACAGCACTTTTTACCAGGAGTGGAGGGAAAGATGCTTGAAATGGCATTGTACATGATGTTTCCTCTTGTATGGCGAATGAGAAGGCAGCTAACATTTACTGACACTTATTCTGAGCCATCTAGCAGAATAACAAAGTAGTAGATATTAACTTCCTGACTTTTATGGATGTGGTAACTGATGAGTTAAAGTAAACATAACTTCCTTAAGGGCACAGTGTCACAGCTGACATTCAAACTCAGGTTTGTCGCAGTCCATGTTTTTTTTTTTTAATTATTTATTTAAATTAGTTTCAAGTATACAATACATTCGTTAGACATCTACATTGTTCATAAAACAATCCCCCCAATTGCTCCCTCCCTCCCCTGGCCCTCCACCTAGCCATCATATTAATGCTAACTGCATTCTTTATGCCATGCTCCCCATCCCTGTGACCATCTATCAACTACTAATTTGTACTTCTTTAATCCTTCACCCTATTCTCCTAGCCCTCTAACCCCCCGTCCCCTCTGTCACCAAATTGTCCACTATTTTGTGAGTCTGTTTTTGATTGTTCTTTTTGTTCCTTAGATTCCACATATAAGTGAAATCATATGGTATTTATCTTTCTCTCAGCATAATAACCTCTAGGTCCATCCATGTCGTTGCAAATGGTAGGATTTCTTTTTTTTTTTAATGGCTGAGTAATAGTCCATTGTATATATGAACCATAATTTCTTTATCCAATCATCTGTTGGGCGTTTAGGTTGCTTCCATATCTTGGCTATTGTAAATTGTGCTGCCATGAATATTGGAGTGCCATGTTCTTTTTAATATACCATTTTGACAGTCATATTGTCAAGTAATTTAATAGCTATAAAAGGGACAAATCCTGACCAACTGATAGCAACATCACTGTGATACCTTAAGCTAACGAATCTGTTTTCTTAACCAGAAACTGAGATGTGCTTGTAGTAAATAATGATTTCAAAGGTCTTCTCCTGCTCTAAAAAACTTATGATTTTAAATACCTTCAAAAAAGCTAATTTAAAATATTAGATCAGAGAAAGCAAACTCACAAATTGATAGGGCCTACTTTATATTCCTAGCTAAAGACTGAATGAAGAGCTATGATTGGTTCATGTCAAACAATGCATTAAAATCCACACACATGCTGGTATTCCCTTCTACTTAGTGGGAGAGACTTGGACTTCAGGTTTACTCAATCTTTCAGCATTCTAATCTTGCTCATCAGGACACAGATCACTTCTTTATAGCAGACTATACTTAGTAAGTTACTGGTTCTTCCCTATTGTACTCCTGACAACTATGTTAATGAAGAATTTTACATTGACTTGTGTTTCTAGGTGATTGTGTCTGAGGAAACTTGTCTCTGTGTCCATGGCTCTGGCTTACCTGTTCTGATTCTACACTGGCTTCTTTCAGTTTATTCTCTGTTGCTTCTTTACACTTCTTCAGGTGTCTGACAGTTTCCTCCAATTCCTAAAAGCATAATACAAAGATTTTTACAAACTCTCAATGTACCATATTGAACAAAAAGCTTCAGTATTTATAATATATGATAGGGCAACTAAATTATGAAAGTATGACTGGGTAATCTGACTTCAGGTGCTACCTAAATACAAGATAAAAACTTATTTTCAGTTAACCTACAGTATACATAGTATATAAGATTACAGATTTTGATTCATGGATTCTCCTGAAAATAGTGATTAACATCTCCTTCCAGAATTGGATACTTTTCATAGCAGAGAATCTCTGTTGGGAGATAAGAGCTCAATGATATCCTACAAGAAAAAGCTAAAAGCATTCATCACCACTGAACCAGTATTACAAGAAATGTTAAAGAAACCTCTTTAAGAAGAAAAAAAAAAAAGAAAAAATATGAATAAAACGCCAATAACTACTTATCTATCAACAATTATTTTAAATGTAAATGGACTAAATGCTCAATCAAAAGACATCGGGTTGCTGAATGGATAAGAAAACAAGGCCCCTACATATGCTGCCTGCAAGAGACTCACTTTAGGTTGAAAGATGATGACACACACTGAAAGTAAAGGGATGGAAAAAGATATTTCATACAAATGGAAATTGAAAAAGCTGGAGTAGAAACACTTATCAGATAAAATAGACTTTAAAACAATGTCTATAACAAGAGACAAGGACATTTCATATATGATAGCCAAGATAATGGAAGCAACCTAAGTGCCTATCAATGGATGATTGGATAAAGATATGGTACATATATACAGTGGAATATTGGCCATAAAAAAGAATGAAATCTTACCATTTGTAACAATATAGATGGGCCTAGAGGGTATTATACTAAGTGAAATAAGACAGAGAAAGACAAATGTGATTTCAGTTATATGTGGAATCTAAAAAACAATCAAAAACAGAAACAAACTCATAGATACAGAGAATAAACTGATGGTTGCCAGATAGGAGGAGGGTGGGGAGACTGGGTGAAAAAGGTGAAGGGATGAAGAAGTACAAGTTAGTAGTTATAAAACAGTCACAGGGATGTAAAGTACAACATAGAGAATGTAGTCAATAATATTGTAATAACTGTGGTGCCAGGTGGGACTGGAGTAATTGAGGGTGATCGCTTCACAAGTTATATCAATGTCTAACCACTGTGCTGTACACCTGAAACTAATATAATATTGAATGCCAACTGTAATTGAAAAACTGAAAATAACTGAATTATCTTAATGACATGGTAATAAGAGGGAAAAAAAGAGATCTCTTGAAGTCCTTTTTCAGTGGTATGTTATGCTTTTCATTAAGTTGAGAATAGCTAAAAGTCCTGTAACAGGAACAGGTGTATCTGAGCTATAGGGAAGAACCGAAAGGTATAAAGTTCATCAAAAACTATGAAATTCAGTTCAGAAATCTTAGTAACTAGTATTTTGCATGAGTTTTAACTGTTCTTTAAAATGAGTATTATTAAGTTGAGAATGGAGAATATGTGCCATAGTCAAAGCTATAGGCTTCTTCCTAGATATTATGATTCTAAGAACTTAGCTAAGATGAACAACTTGTAAATATGTTTTCTTTCAGAGAATCTAGAAATTCTAGGTGCTCTAATGCTGGGTATCAGCACATGTTGTTTGCTGATATTCTTTGAGATGAATCTTAAAGTTTTTACCTGGCACCGATTCTCTAGTTCTTGCCTTATTTTCCGCTCTGCCTCTAGTCGTAGCTCTTGCTGTTTGTTCCGTGCTGAGGTATCATATTGGCTCTTGGCCAACAGCTGCATCTCTTTCTGTAGGTTAGTCATTTCAGATACAAATTTCTGGATACTCAATGACTGGAGGGCACAAAGAGGGAGACATTGGTGCATGTGTCCAAGTTTGAGATTTTATGTGAATGGTAAACACAGTTTGTGGAAATCATCTACCTGTTCATAATTTTTTTTCTGATATTGATCCTTAATTAGCTCCATTTGCCTCAATTCTGTTTCTATTTGCTGAAAGTAAATGTGGAAATAACACAGATGATCAGTGAAATAACTGGCTTGCTCCTTTTGCCTATAGGATGACAGAAAGAATCCCGTATGAAACCCACAGTTATTAGTTCCTGCTGGGCTCTCCTTCCTGTCTGGCCTGCTAACCCCAAAAGAGCAAAGTCCTGTACTAGCACCATGGAGGAGACAGATGGGAAGCCAGAAAGTGACATGAGCAGCTAATGAGAAACTAAACATTTATATAGCGAATCATGGCTAGGAAAAGAGATTGTCCTCCCAAGGCAATCTTCCCACTTCCTGAGTGTAGCTGTAATTAATTCTCAGACCCATGGTGCTGTTAGTGCTCTGAAACCATCTCTCCTGGATACCACTGCCTGCCTCATCAGATACTAAGGAAGTGAGAAGACACTTAGAGTTTCTCATACAACCTTCATCCTCTCAATATTCTGAGTGTTATTCGCCTTAGCTGACATGTGAAGCCTAATTTGGGCTTTTTGAGTCTTTATTTTCTCCTTGCTACTGTTCAGTAGCTTTTCCAACTCTGTCAGTTTCTGCCGCAGCTCTCGGTTGGTCCGTGATACTTCCACTGATCTGAAGTTGGCTTCATCAAGGGCTTTCTTCAGCTGTGGAACACAAAGGGAAAATTAGAACATTTTTACCTTCTATTCAGTAAGAGAAGTGTATGTTTAGCTCTGTCCCTATATTTTGTTCTCTTTAGACCTTTCTTTCAAAAGGGAGGGCAAATGAGGCCATAATGTCTGATTAAGTAGATTTGTAGAGGAACGCTCTAGTGTTAAAAATCATGAAAATCACTTAAAGAACACAATCTTTCTTAGAACAGATAAACAATGTAAATATAAGTTCATTGTTTGCTTTTCAGGGTGTGGCTTTGGAGTCAGACAGATCTAAGTTCAAATCTTAGCTTCACCTCTTACTAGCTATGTCATTTGGATAATTAACTTCCCTAAGACTCAGGTTCATCATTGGGAAAGTGTGAATAGCCTACCTCATAAGATTCACGTAACAGTTAAATAAAATGAAGAATGTAGAGCTTGGCACATAGTAATTACTCAATGATTATTACCATTTACCATGCTTTAAGCATTTCCTTTCTGTCAATTGTGACCTCATGTCTAGAGAAGTAAAAATAAATTATGTGGTAGTTTATATAGATACTTGTTAGTTACTATCACTGCATGCATTTTTATAATATTGCTTTTTGTTTCTAAAGATTTTAATAAACTTGTCTAGAGGAAAAATAGCATAATGTTTACTGTTAAAAACAAGATAACAGGCCCAAATGGAGTCACTTATGCTCTAAGCCTTATGTCACCAAATCGAGACTTAGTCTTGGCTTTCCCAAAAATGAACTCTTAAACCAATCAGGTATCACCTGATCAACACTAGTTGAGTGATCTGCCTGAGACCCCTGGAATCCCCCAAAGGAAAGTAACTTTGCAATAATCAACCTGCATTTTTGCCTAGTTTAACTTTTTGTTCCCACTCTCGTCTGTCTATAAAAGCTTTTCATTTTATACAGCTTCTTGGAGCTCCTTTCTATCTGCTTGAGTGGATGCTGCCCAATTCAAATGATTTTTGTTGAAATCAAATCTTAAACTAAGACATATTTAAAATATCTTTTAACAGTTCTGGCATCAGAAGAAGAAAATGAAGGACACTTGTAATAGCACCCAGGAGCAATAAGCAACCAGGGAAAGGTACCCACTGAGTCCTACGAGCTCCCTACTTTCTCGATGCCTCTGGAGGTCATAGCAAAGTCTTAGAGCCTAGCTCTGCAGCGTTTGCGTTATGAGCTTCCCGACATTATTTGAGCATCTCTTTTTCCGAACTGGGTCTGGAAACTAGCCAAAGTTGGACTGGGTTCAACTTAAAAATCAGACTGGGTCCAGGGTTGGAATAGGTCTGATTTAAGCTAGACTTGGGTCCAGTGTGAGGCTTCTGGTGAATAAAATTTTATTTTAAGGCTAAACAAGCAAGTTAATCTTACCAAAGATACTTGAATTACAGTGGCCAGAGTGGAGAACTTTTAACCTAGGTAAGTTTATTCATTTATGAGGTACTCCGAATAAAAAGCGGTCTCAATCCAGTAGTCACCAGGGTAGAGGGAAAATTATTTTTCCGCTCTACCATTTCTGGTGACAAGGATGAGACTCACTGGGACATTCCACTTACTCCAGAGCCTACAGGCAGGATCCTAGGAAAACTAGCAGAAGCTGGCTAAGGGTGAAAATTCTTACCAAAGCGAGCTTTCCTGGATCTCTGTGTTGCTTAGGTGAGAGAAGTAAAATTTCACATTGTCCTTTCCTTCCCAAATTCAGATTGGCAGGCTAAAAACATCTATAAGAATTAGATCTTTGAACTGTGACTCATGAATTCGCTTTCAAGAGCCCATTGGTTGTTAATCCTTTCTCACTCAGGGACAGCTACTGCCTCGTTTGTCTTGTTTTGTGTCCTGAGAACTTGGTTTGGTAATTGCCAGGTAAAGAGCCCCAAATATATGGCCAGAAAAGAATGTGGTTCCACCCTAGTTACAGCTAGACATAGCTGGACAGAAATGTGGGTTGCACTCCATTTGCTGCTAGGGTCGTACTGACTGCTGCCAGCTCCCAGGGGAACTATCTTTTCTTTTGGTTATCTTTGAAAGTGGCTCTGGATTTTGGGAGGGCAGTATCTTTTGCACTCTCACTCTATATACCTCCTGTGTCTGTGCAGTTGTTCAGTACGGGCAGGAACATACACTGTTTGTCCTGGCTGATATCTGAAAGGGGTTTTATGTTTTTGTTTTTTTTTTTTTTAGATCTGTGGAACCTGATATTCAGAGCCTGATAAGGAACTGTTTTTTAGGCCTTCTCCCCGAAAGCTAAAATGAAACTATATAACCAGAGGGAAAGAAAAACATTCTGAAGACATTTGTGGAAGGATTTACTAAAACATTCCAAAGACACACAGCTCTAAATCTAGAACATAAGAATCTTTTAATTTCTATCTTATTTGAAGATCTTCTCCCTGATATAAAGCAGCAAGTTGAAGATAACACAACTAGATGGGTGGGTCAGCCTCCATATCACTTAGGTTGCAACCCAATTGTTTGAGAAATTAAAACAACTGTACTTTGTCTTACAAACTGAGTCTTTATAAGAATAGAAATGCAGCTCTAGACACAATTCAAAGCCCACCTATCCTTTTACCAATCCTAATATATCCCTATTCATCTCAAAAAGCTTGCAGATATTGGAAAAGATCTAGACTTAGAGAACAAAAGTCCTTTTGTTGGTAGAATTTTCATTCTTTGTGCCTTTTGAGATATAAATATTCAACCAGTCTCCAAGAACCAGGTAATTCCTATCAAAAAGGGGGGTGGGGGGTGGGGTAGGGTGCAAAACTAAAACTAAAGACCGTTTTGAAAACTAGGCCTAAGAAAAATCTTAAAAGTCTATTTTACAAATTAGTTACAAGCTTTAGCTATCTTTGCAGGTAATCTTATTTCATCTGCCAGAAACATGATTTGGATCCAACTGTTCTTTTATAAACTAGTGAGTTCTGTATTCTACCTGCCAAAATTTTTAAATGAAAACTTGTGTCTGTATGTTTATGTATGTCTATGTATGTATGTTATAAATGTGACTTTTATTCTACCTCCGAGTGGTATTGCCAAAATACTCTAATCAGCTTAAAGAAAATTAAGCACTTACATAAATCAAGTATAATCTCAGAAATATAGAAACCAAAATGTTTTTCAAGTTCATGTGATCTAAGATAATTTTTGGTGAATAAAAGCTAGTTTAAGTTTGTTTAATTAAGAGGCATGTCTTAGTTATCAGAATTAAATAGAATATTTTTATTCTACCTAGGTTTACTGAAAGATAAGCTCATATCATCTCCTGTAGAATTTGTCAGCAAGAAGGATGATGGTTCACTGTTTAATATCTCATGAAATTTTCATAATTGTTAACAATGAATTAAATAGATGTAAGATAGATTATAAATGAACTTCTCAACAGTTTATTTTTTATGGTATGCCTACTTAAAAGTTGCCAAAATCCTTTTTGGTAATGAAACTTTAAAATTACACTGAGATCAGTTAAATGATGGATATTCATCTAGATCATTTCCAAATAAGATAAAATACTGAAACATTAACTACTGAACAGGTTTATCCACCTTTGGTTTCCTTTTATAGAGGAACTAAAGATATTTAGGTCTATTAGTAAACATGTCTTGTGCCACATTTGAACATGTTTTGTGGGGGAAAATATACTTCTAGAAACTATGAAATGTATTTATAAATTTGCTAATCCACAGTATTACAGACAGACCACAATTGCTTACACTTTAGTTTTCACTAGGAATTAAGGATTCTAAGGGTTAAAAATTCTAATATGTAATTAAAACTACTTAGGAATAAAGGTGAAAGGAAATAACTATGAAAAGTAGGTAAAAAAGTAAAATGATTATTGCAGAATGAGAAAAACATAGGACAAACTCTGAATGGATACAAAGAAAGTTGGAAGTTTGTGGAAAAGGAATCTTGGGAAAGAATATTATGTGTTTCAAGCTAGCTAAGACCGGAATGGGGTTTAAGATTTTAAAGAATGGATTTTAATATTGAAAGTACACTGGTACAAAATTAGAATTTGGTTTTTCTTTGTTAAAAGAATAAGGTTTTCCTGGACTATTGGTCTGTTCTTAATAAGAGATTGTGAAAAGGTTCTTTTACCTTTGGGGTAATCTACCTGGAGAGCAAAGAGTTTGTGTCATACCAAAACAGTATACTGTGCTTCCCGATGTCTTCATCAGGTCTTTGACTACTTAAAAAAAACCCCAGTATTCTCAATATTAAGAGCTAAGTATTGTTAACAACTATGTAACCTTCTGTATTTGCCTTTATAAATATTCTGTTGTTGGAGTGACATCAGCATCACGGAGTAGTGAGACCTCTTTGAATCTCTCCTTATGTCTACAACCAGCCAGGCATCTATAACTCAACAAAGGTTCCTCTATTCAACACGCTAGCATGCCTGAGAGAACCATGCATTGGTACATCTGAAGGTGGGTGTATTAAAATGCAAAGGGGAGGTAGATGCAGAAAAGGCATTTCACAAGACACAACATCCATTTGATAAAATCTCTCAATAAAATGGGTGTAGAAGGAATGTACCTCAACAAAATAAAGGCCATATATGACAAACATCATACTCAAAAAAAGGAAAGCTTTTCCTCTATGATTGGGAGTAAGACAAGGATGCCCACTTTCGCCATTGTTACTGAACACAGTACTGGAAGTCCTTGCCAGAGCAATTAGGCATCTAAATTGGAAAGGAAGAAGTAAAACTGTCACTATTTGTGGTGACTTGATTTTATATTAGAAAATCATAACCAGTCCAACAAAAAAACTATCAGAAACAATACAATAAAGTTGCAGGATATAATATACAAAAATCTGTTAAGTTTCTATATAAGAAAGAAAAATGAAGAAAACAATCACATTTATAGCTGCAACATAAAGAATAAAACACCTAGGAATAAACAAAGGAGGTGAAAGACCAGTACACTGAAAACTACAAGACATTTTTGAAAGAAATTGAAGATGACAAAGAAATGGAAAGATATTCCATGTGCATGGACTGGAAAAATTAACATTATTAAAATGTCCATATTACAAGAACAAAGGGGGAGTATCACACTCTGAATTCAAACTATGCTACAAATCAGTATGGCATTGGCAGAAACATTACACGGGACCAATGGAACAGAACTGAGAGCCCAGAAATAAACTCACACATATACAGGCAACTAATTTATGATGAAGGAGCCAAGAATATACAGTGAAGAAAGTCTCTTCAATAAATGGTGTTGGGAAAACTGGACAGACATATGCAAAAGAATGAAACTAGACCACTATCTTATAACCATACACAAAAATTAACTCTTAATGGCTTAAAGACCTGGATGTGAGACCTAAAATAATAAAATACATATAAGAAAACATAAGCACTAAGCTTCTGGACTTTGGTGTCAGTGGTGTTTTTGTGATTTTTGACTCCAAAAGCAAGGGAAAAAACAAAAAGTGACTAAATCAAACTAAAAAGCAACCAACCGAATGGGAGGAGATATTTGCAAATGATACTTCCAATAAGGGGTTAATATCCGAAGGATGTAAAGAACTCATACAACTCAACAAAAAACAATCCAATTAAAAAATGCGCAGAGGATCTGAAATGACTTTTTTTTAAGGAAGATATACAGATGGCCAACAGGTACACGAAAAGATATTTCTCCATCACTAAGAATTATGGAAATGCAAATCAAAACCACAATGCAGTATCACCTCACATCTGTTAGAATGGCTATTATCAAAAAGGGTAGAAATAAGTGTTGGAGAGACTGTGGAGAAAAGGGAAGCCTTGTGCACTGCTGAAGTTGTAAACTGGTGCAGCCACAATGGAAAACAGTATAGACAAAACGTAAAAAAATTCAGAATAGAACTACCATGTGATCCAGCAATTCCTCTTCTGGGTATTTATCAGAAGAAAATGAAAACATTAACTAAAAAGATTATACACACACACACACACACCTATATAAATACTTCTATATTCACTGTAGCATTATTTACAATAACCAAGACATGGAAACAACCTAAGTGTCCACTGACATGAACGGGAAAAGAAGAATGGTACATATATACAATGGAATACTATTTGGCCATACAATAAATGAAATATTGCCATTTGGGGTGGATCTGGAGGTTATTATGCTAAGTGAAATAAATTGGACAAAAAAGAAAACTATGATTTCACTCATATGTGGAATATAAAACAAAAAAGTAGACTAGTAGTTACTAGAGGGGAAAAGGGTCGGGGACAGTGAACTGGGTAAAGGCCAAATCTATGGTAATGGAAGGAAACTATATTTTTGGTGGTAAGCATGCAATAGAGTATACAGATATCAAATTATGTTGTAGAGCTGAATTTATAACTGAAATTTATAATGATGTTACATCAATAAAAGATCTATTGTCACTTTGGTTAAACAGATTTTTATTTCATAATGATCTGTGATACTATTTGGTCAAATGTTCAAACCTTTCGGCATTTAGACAACCTCCTAAAATCAAATCCTAAATGGAGTCTTTGACCTTAAAGTAACAGATTTCACAGAGAGTCCCTGAAAAATCTCAGTAAATTTGTCTCTCAACTTGTAAAAGAGAGATGTTAAACTAATTAGGTTTATTTGGTATGTTATATTACATGGGAAGCATTGTCAAATTAGGGATAATAAACCTTCTTTGGTTATATTTGTACAGATGCATATTATTTATATAAGTTCTCTAGATATTGTGTGAAATTCCTAAAACTGATTTATCCTGGTATGTTATCCGTCATAATTCCAGTTACTTAAAAATATATGTCACAGATAATAACCAAATTTCCTTATCAAGTCTATTATAATACCTTTTCATCAGGTCTTTAACCATGGGCATTTTTAAGTCTTTTGTCATTTATAGACAGTTACTGTTTTACTCTGATGCTTTTGCAAAAGTGAGATTCCTAGAAAGGCCTCTAGCAAGTACTCAACTACTGATACCTCTGCCAAATTACAAAGTGTCGAACCTTGGGTGCATATTTCACAACTGAAGAAGGCTCATTCTGACATCTGGTGCTGTGCAAACATTGGAGACCTCGAAATCAAACCGACTAGGAAGAGAAGTACCCATGGTGAGGTCAGACTGCTTCCTCCCAGGATCAAGAACGTTTCTTTCCATTCCTCCTTCCCTCTCTGACCATGCTTTTCCTAATTCTTATGACATGAAGGTCTTTATGATTGTTTTGTTCACCTTTTGCCTTGCTTTGGCCTGGAAAGTTGTGCCATTGTTCACATATCTTGGGCCATTGCAAAGGGGGGTAATCCAACCTCCAAATGATTGTTGGATTTGTCACGATGCTACTGATCCTATAGTTGTGCTCATCACAAACTTCTCCCTGATTTCCAAATTCTCAGTTTCTCTGAAACAAACTCAGCCCCCTCTCTACTGTGTCAGACTCCCTACCCAAGGGGGTCCATTTCCAAACCCCAAATCTGGGGAACCTTGCATCCAGGCTCTGTACAAAAAAAGGGACACAAGGCAAGAGTAACAAGAAAACCACCTGTGTTACTGGCCTCCATGGCTGTCACCTTTCTAGTCCTGAGCTACATACTCAAATGGAAATTATCTGAAGCCATTCATGATTCAAAATTAGCTTCCACTGGCAGATCCCTACTGCCTTGGCTAGGAGTAAATGCAAATGAAGCTGTGACAAGGAACCTTAAAGATATAACTCTTAGAGATACTGCAGAATCTGCTGGTAAAGCAATACTCTCCAACAAAAACCCCTAGACTCTCTAGTCATAGTTCTTGATAGTAGGATAGCCCTTGATTCTCTTTTAGATGAGCAAGGAGTTGTCTGTGCTATGGCCAGCACCACTTACTGTACTTGGATTGATACGTCTGGGGAAGTTGAGACTCAGCTATATAAGATCATTGAACAAACTAGTTGGCTTAACAAAGTGACTTCTTCAATGGTGTCTTTCCTTGATTCATTGATTCTGATTGATTTGGGTCCTGAGGATTGGGGCTCAGACATGCACTCTAGACATTGGAAATTATCCTGTTTATAACAATCATAATAGTTTCCCTGGAATACTGTATTCTCTCAAAAGCTTTAAAGCATGTTCTCAGCTGCTAACTAACAAGTAAATGATCTCTCTGAGACAAGAACATCAGAAAAGGAATGAAGAGAATGAATGACTGACAGAACGTGAACCCAACGTCATGACCTGTGAATGCCACAGAGATTCAGCAAAAAGATGTCATTATTTGTGAATACCAAACAGAGGATCAGCAAAAGACTTCAAGAACTCCAGAGTGGTAGCTGCGAGTAGCACTAATGCCTCAAATTTTGATCACAACTCTAAGTTAGGCTAAAAGTCTGATCAAAAGGTAGGGGAGGAATTATTAAAAACAAGACAACAGACCCCAAATGGAGTTGCTTATGCTAAGCCCTGTCACTAAATCAATACTTAATTATCGTTCTGGTTCTCCCAGAAATGGAACCTTAAATCAATTAGGAATTGCCTGATCAATACTAGTTAGGTAATGTACCTGATTACCTCAGTTGCATCTGGCTTGCTGGTCAAGGGGGATTAAAACAGCCAAAGAATAACTGCATCCCACAGCTGGTTTTCCTCTTAAAATACATTCAACTAGAGAAACTTTTTTGTCAATTGACTCCATACCTCTGCCACTTCCCGTTGTGTCGCTTTCTTTGCAGCATCTCTCTCAGTTTGAAACTGCTTTCTTAGAGCTTCTATGCGTTCAGCATGCAATTCTGCTTCCATTTTGGATTCCTCAGTCATCCGTTCTCTGTTTTGAAAAACACGGATGATAAATCACCTTTAGAAATCACCTTGGGAGGTAATAAAGATATGGAGGGAATGTGCAACTTTCCAAAAGGTGTGTGATTTACAAATGAGAAGCAGATCAATTACCAGGCGAAGTTCACTGATCTGGAGCTTAACAGAAGAAAAACAAAGCATTACCTGTAGCATTTAAAAAAAGTCATTTAATATAAAGAGATCCAACCAAAAGAGTGAAACATATACTCTCGTTTAACCAATAATGAAGTCTTGAGCCAGCAACACTTCACCAGAGTATAAAATTTGTATAGATCACAAACCTGAAAAACACCTTTTCTGCTTTAGCTTATACCTGTCTATGTCAATATGTTCACTACCTGAAAGGAATAAAGATGTATGTGCGCATTGCATTTCTCTTTCGTATGAATTTTCACAGAATGTTATTAATACCTAGGTAAATCTAGGTAAATCATATTTACCTAGATATAGTTTAAGACAAAATTTTAGTAGCTTCACTTGAACTTGATGGGTTTTACTTAACTAATCTCAGGCCATAACTGAAAACAATTAATGGTTTAGCATCTGCTTAGATGGAGTCATCCACTCCTCCATTTAGGCTCTGGTTATTGCTTTTCCAAATCATGCTTTTAAAGGACACATAAGCTTTTGACGGAAAAGGCTTGACCAGAAACGTGCAAGTGTTCCTTCCAACCGATATTCTTTAGATTTTGGTTTAACCTTCATATACAGAAGCAGCTTGATATTAGATAAAAGAGCTGAAAATCAGCATACTCCAGACAGCTAGTGTCTGCTGCTGCTCAGCTATACCCGGTTCCTTAACATGGCTCTTTTGGGCGTACTAGTTCAAAGTAGGAGAAAAAGGTTTAACTGGTTTATGTGAACGAGCCAAACTTACTCTCCCAGAAGCTCTTCCCTAACTTCACTGTGACTATACTGCCCTTACTTGAACGTTTCCAAATTCTGTCGCTCAAGTTCTTTGTTTTCCAGTTTCTCTTGGACATGGTCAAGCTTTGTTTGCAGATGATTATTTGTCTGGAGAGCTTGCTCCAGGCTCATAGCCAGTTTCCTGTTGTCTTCTCTAGCTACATCTAAAGCTTTTTGTAGAGGCTCCATCTAAAAGAGAGAAGAGGGTTTTTAACAGGTGCAATTAGTCCATAACGCTGTATATGCACTTCTAACCCTGTATCATCAAGTGCCATTGAAACAATAATTAGTAGGAATCAGAACCAGAGATTTCAGAAGCCTGAAATATATGTGAGAACTTATTACAGACATTGCTTGAAGACTCTTAGAAGGTGATAGGAAGGGTCTGCTCCACTGGTCACTACAGAACTTTGGAAAATAGAGCCAACTTAATTTATTCTGATTTTTAAAATTTTAAAATTATCCTTCCTGATCCTATGACCTCTGGTCTCACTGACTAGAGAGATAAGAACGTGAAACTGTTGTATATCCTTCCAGAAAAAGCTTTTTATGTAAAAATATCCATGTGTATTACATATAAGTGTGCATGTGTGTAGATACATAATCATATGTGCACACACCTGACAGCACACTCGTGAGTTTGTCTCATTAGCAGTGGGATCACTCCAGCTACTTCTGACTGATGGTATGAGCTATTCTCCAAGCCCTTTAACTTCTGCAATCATTTATGCATTAATAAATGAAAAGAATGTGAACCATATAAGAGAAAGAACTGGCATAATTTTGGCCCTGGTTTCCGAAAATATGATTCACTGTAAAATCGCAGGCCCATTTCTCATTTGTAATATGTCACTGTCAAATCCAAATTTAAATGAAAACACAATTTACCTGATTGTTTTATTCCACTTTTCCAAAATAGCAATATCCCAATAAAACCAAAAATATCTATGTTATCATCTATAAGCACCTGCCCTCTACCTCACTGTTGTGCTGGGCATCCACGACAAGCACTCTGGCCTGCCACTGGTCCACTTCTGCTTCCAGCTTCTGTACCCTCTGTTGATTTAGAGCCCTAAAAATGGAAAGCACAGAAAGAGTGACTACAGAAAAGAACCATCTAGGAATGATACCATTGGGCGTTACAGGGCACTCTTCTAAAAAGCTCAAATGGCATATGTAGCAGTCTATAGATGCTCAGAATATGAATTGGCAGGTGACAATTAGTAGCCTCAGCTTCAGGTTAAGAAATGAAGGCTCCTATGGATTAAAAATTTGTTCCATCTTATGATTCAATTTGGCTTGATACATTAAACTGTCAACACATGACAATAAATAAGTTATGGGCTGATAATTTTATATATGTGTAACATATTATACACACACACATATATTATAAACATGTATCAGTGGTACAAAAACATTTCACCTCTACATGAACTGGCTTCATGTTGAGATTTCTGCTTCTAAATACAACATCTAGTAGAATTTTATTGTAAATGGTAAACAATACTTTTAGTACCATCCTCTTGAATTTTCTATTTAAGTTTAGAATATACATAATATGTAAGAAAATAAAGCGCAATGAAGAATATACACTTGTTCTCTCATAACATAGAGGTAATATACACCACAATATACACATTACAATATATTTTTAGAGGCCTTATTAAACTCAGAACATTTGTTTATTAACCTAAAAGGGAAACTTTTATGTAATTTTTGAAACATTGAAGAGTTTACTTATAAAACATGGTCAGAAGTAGTTCTTAGAATGATTCATCTAAATAATCATTCATCTTTAAACAGGACACTAATAAATGGATAATTCAAACTAAAGTAGGTACTTAGCTTCAATTATCTCAACAATTACTATTTTGTAGACCCAAGGGCAAGTTTAAAAAGTATAGAAAACAGCAAGGATAAAACAACAGTATATCATACGAATTTCTAGAATACATACTCCTTTACCTCACTATAAAATATAGGAATTTTGAATTTTTGGAAATCATATTAATTTTTAATTCTAAATTTTCGCTAACTTTAAACT